GGAAGTTGGAACCAAGATCATAAATATGCATGTTTGTAGGATATGCAATGGGACAAGAGAATGATTATTTTATATAGTCATAAGAATCAAAGGTATTTGTATCGACAAATGCCACGTTTCTGGAGCATGGCTATATGATAGTTTTTATGGCCCAGAAGCAAAGCAGTTCTGGAAAAATTACTTTCCAATAAGATTGGACCACTACCGACAAGAGTTGTTGCAACGCAAAGAAGTAAGACCGCGATTCCTAATCAAACTCCTGTGGCACCTTATCGTAGTGGGAGGGTAAGCAAGTTACCTGATCGGTATACTGAAGAAGCACAGATCGTCACTGCTAATGACGGTAAGGAGGATCCGTTGACCTTTAAGGCTATGATGGATGATTTTGATAAGGAAAAGTGACAAGCAGCTATGAAACTCGAGATAGAGTCTATGTACTCCAACTCAGTCTGGCAACTTGTAGATCTACATGAAGGGGTAAAACCCATTGGATGTAAGTGGATCTTCAAGAGAAAGAGAGGAGTGGATGAAAAAGTAGAGACTTATGAAGCAAGACTAGTGGTTAAGGGTTACACCTAGAAAGAGGGAGTTGATTGTGAGGAAACTCTCTCACCGGTAGCCATGCTTAAGTTCATCAGGATACTCTTCACCATAACAGCATATTTTGAATATGAGATATGGCAAATGGATGTCAAGACAGCGTTTCTGAATAGCTATCTTGAGGAAACCATCTATATCGATCAGCCAGAGGGTTACATAGAGAAAGGTCTAGAGCAGAAAGTCTGCAAACTGTAGAGATCCATTTATGGATTGAAGCAAACTTCTAGATCATGGAATATTAGGTTTGATGAGGCTATTAAGTCTTATGGATTTGATCAAAACCAAGATGTTTCAAACAAAAGAAAAGAAGAAGTTCTTATTCTTTACAAGCCCGAATATATGATATTCAGTGGGAATAGTCAGTCGTTGTCAGTTGAACTCAAGATTCGATCATTCGGTAGCCGTACATTGTATCCTTAAGTATATAAGGAAAATAAAGAAACTATAAGATAGTTTAGTTAGTGAAAGAGTTGTCTTTCACTGGATACATAGACTTTGACTATGAGTCATTGATAAGTTGATTTTTCATCAATTTATCCCTGTCATATATTATAGTTTTGAGCAAATTTTAGTTAATTTGTCACTAGTCTTATGTTTATGTTAATCTGTTTTGTAGGAATTACAAAGTGGAGAAAATCGAATGAAAAAGATAAAGAAGTCCATGAAAATCTCTATTTGTGTGGGCTGCAGTGCACTAGGAGCAAGCTACAACCTGAGACTTCCAGAGAGCTTTCCAAGAAAGAATTCCAGAGAGCATTCCAGAGAGCATTCCAGCTTCAGGCTGCAGCGCTCCATAAGGTGCTGCAGCGCGCCCTGCAGCCAGCCTGACGCACGCTTAGGCGCAGTTCAAGGCGCACTTAGGCGTGCATCCCAGAATTTGCCTGGGAATTGAGATGCGTGCTGCAGCGCACATCCCCATGGGCTTAGGCACGCGTCTAGAAAACCTTAGACCTCGTTGACATGCGCTGCAGCGCACATCCATGGGCTGCAGCGCGCCTATCTTGAATTTAGACAATTGTACACATTTGGGAGGTGATATAAAAGGAAAAGAAAGTTGCTGGAAGAGGGTTGGACACGGAGAGTGGAGAATTTAACTAGAGACACGGCTGGAGCCCTAGGTCTGAAGAAAAGCAGCTGTAACTAAGGATTTCTGAGATTTTCAAGGGGATTCAAGCATATTATTTCACTTAGCGCTCGAGAGAGGGAGTGAGATTATCTTAGTACCCATGATCTAGGATTGAATATAATACATCAACAAGTGACAAATTTAGATAAATATAACATAATTAGGTGAAGTCGAATCCCCCCTAGCCCATTTTAAATATAGAGATCCCTTCGATCCAAATCACCTTCGCATCCGTTGTTTGCATTTTTTAGTCTAGTTTAGTTGTTTAATTTAGTTTCAATCCCTTAATTTCATATTGTCTAGATAAAATCGGTTTAGATAAAGAGTGATACTTAGTTCTTCCTAATTAACAATCCCAGTGGACGATACTCGATCCTCGGATCATTATTACTTCGCGATTCATACACTTGCGAGCACACATTAAATTTTAAGCAAAATTATTTTCGCGTACAAGTTTTTAGCGCCATTGCCGGGGATTGGCAATTTAGGATTTAAGCTAATATTGTTGTGAAATAGATTGATTTTAATTTAGACCTTTATCTTTATTTTATTGACTTAACTTTTGTTAATTTAATTTCTTTAATATATTCTTTTGGTTGCAGTGTATGCGCCGAGTCTATAGCTTGGAGACTGTTCCTTTAGACCCAGAAATTGAGAGAACTATTTCGAGACTAAGAAAGGAACATTAGAATAGAAACCGAGTCATGGCAGAGGGTAACAACAACAACCAGCAGAGGGCTTTGAGGGATTACTTCAGAATAGAAACCGGTAGTGAATGAGAATTATTCTGGCATCAGGAGGCAGCCGATCAACGTGAACAACTTTGAGCTGAAGCCTACATTGATAAATATGGTTCAGCAAAATCAGTACGGGGGGCTACCGTCTGAAGACCCTAATGTGCATCTAGCAATGTTTCTGGAGATCTGCGACACCATCACGATGAATGGTGGGGACTAGGACATTATCAGAATGCGCATGTTCCCGTTCTCACTTAGGGACAAGGAGAGGGGTTGGCTCCAATCAGTTTAAGCTGGTAGTATTGGCACGTGGGAAGAGTTGGCACAGAAGTTTCTAACCAAGTTCTTCCCTCCGTCAAAGACCGCTCATTTAAGGAGCGAGATTGTGCAATTCAGACAGATCGACTTTGAGCCTCTCTATGAGGCCTGGGAGCGTTTCAAGGAGTTGCTTAGAAAATGCCCGCAGCATGGATACGAGGACTGGTTCCAAATTCAGATATTCTACAATGGTCGGAATGGACAAACTAGGACAATTATAGATGCGGCATCAGGAGGGATGATGTTGTCCAAGACCTATGAGGAGGCCGAATTATTATTGGAGGAGATGGCCTCCAACAATGCTCAATGGCCAAGTGAGCGGTCAAGTGTGAAGAGGGCTGTAGGAATGCATGAGATTGATCTGTTGGTCACTTTTTCAGCACAAATATCAGCTTTGACCAACAAGATCTCAGAGTTAACCGCAAAGGAAGCCACATCGAGTAAGGAGACGGCTATGGTTGCAAGTACATCTTACATAGGTGAAGGTGGTGCTGCAGAACAAGTGCAACATATGAACAGCAGGAATTTCAACTACCGAAGCAATAACATGCCGAGCAACCTGCCTTCTCAGTACCACCCAGGTCTCCAGAACCACGAGAACTTTTCTTATGGAAACAACAAGAATGTATTGCAACCTCCTCCAGGGTATAGTCAGCCATTATCTCAGAGCAAGCCGTCGATAGATGACCTGTTGAGCACGTTCATTGTAGAAACCAGGGGGCGGTTCAACAAAGATGAGGCTAGACTTGATAATATCGAGACTCATTGCACAAACATGAGTGCTACTGTGAAGACTATGGAGACACAGATTCGCCAACTCGCCGACTCAATGAAGAGCCTATCATCCGGGAAGTTTCCTAGTGACACTGTGAAAAACCCCAAGGAGTAATGTAACGCAGTCACCTTAAGAAGTGGGAAAGAAGTTGAGGTTCCTAAACCCCAAGAGGATAAAACCGAGGAAGAAGAGGTAGGATCGGAGCAACCGAAGGAGAGTGCAAGGCCTAAGTCAATCTCTTTTCTGGATAATCCTCCTCTCATCACTCCTACCCTTCCGTATCCGCAAAGATTCAAGAAGAAGAAGAAGATGGATGCTCAATTTTCAAAGTTTTTAGAGATTTTCAAGAAGATCCATATCAACATTCCGTTTGCGGATGCATTTGAACAAATACCTAATTATGTCAAGTTTATGCAGGATGTCATGGCAAAGAAGCGGAGGTTGGAGGATTATAAGACCGTCAAGCTAACGGAAGAGTATAGCGCTATCCTTCAAAGGAAATTGCCTCAAAAGTTGAAGGATCCTGGGAGTTTCACTATTCCGTGTACTATTGGAGATTCTCACTTCGAGAAGGCCTTGTGTGATCTTGGAGCTAGCATCAACCTCATGCCTCTATCAGTTTTCCAGAAACTGGGGCTTGGAAAGGTCACCCCTACAACTATCTCCCTGCAAATGGCGGATAGGTCCATTACCTACCCATGGGGAATCATTGAAGATGTATTGGTAAAGGTGGATAAGTTCATCTTCCCGGTTGATTTTGTAGTTTTGGACATGGAACAGGATCGGGATATCCCCATTATCCTTGGGAGGCCTTTCCTAGCTACCGAAAGGGCTTTAATAGATGTGCACAATGGGAACTTGACTCTAAGGGTCAATGAGGAGAAAGCCATATTCAACATCTTAAATCCCAAGAGGTCTCCACAAGAAAAGCCGACTTGTGACCGAGTGGAGGAAGTGAAATCTTTTATCAAGTTCACTCAAGAAGTTGTGCCGAAAGATTATTTGGGGAATGGCCCTACCAATTCCCTAACAAAAAACAAATCGAGTAATGAACATTGTCCTAAGAAAGATGAAGCGGGGGAGTATGTTGTTAACAGGGTCGAAGCCATTGCCACCCCGATGAACAATGAAAAGGTGGTGCCCAAGAAGAAAGCCAAGAAGAAGCACGACCAACGAACCTTGTGGCAAGATCTCACTCCAGGTCAACGCGTCCTTCTTTTCAACTCTCAGTTGAAGCTCTCCCCCGAAAAAGAGGAGTTAAGATGGTCTGGACCATTGAAGATGTATTGGTAAAGGTGGATAAGTTCATCTTCCCGGTTGATTTTGTAGTTTTGGACATGGAACAGGATCGGGATATCCCCATTATCCTTGGGAGGCCTTTCCTAGCTACCGAAAGGGCTTTAATAGATGTGCACAATGGGAACTTGACTCTAAGGGTCAATGAGGAGAAAGCCATATTCAACATCTTAAATCCCAAGAGGTCTCCACAAGAAAAGCCGACTTGCAACCGAGTGGAGGAAGTGAAATCTTTTATCAAGTTCACTCAAAAAGTTGTGCCGAAAGATTCTTTGGGGAATGGCCCTACCAATTCCCTAACCAAAAACAAATCAAGCAATGAACATTGTCCCAAGAAAGATGATGCGGGGGAGTATGTTGTTAAGAGGGTCGAAGCCATTGCCACCCCGATGAACAATGAAAAGGTGGTGGCCAAGAAGATAGCCAAGAAGAAGCACGACCAGCGAACCTCGTGGCAAGATCTCACTCCGGGCCAACGCGTCCTTCTTTTCAACTCTCAGTTGAAGCTCTCCCCCGAAAAAGAGGAGTTAAGATGGTCTGGACCATTTAAGACCAAGCGAGTGTCTTCATTCGGTACCATTGAGCTAGAACCAGGAAGATGAAGTTGTGTTCATGTCCAGCTAGGGACGTTAAATCAAGCGCTTCTTAGGAGGCAACCTAAGTTTCCACCCCTTTATTTGTTTTGATTTTTTTTTTTTTAGATTAATTTTGTGTGATTTGTTTATCATTGATTTATTTTGTTGATAATGGTGTTATTAGGTTTTTCTAATACAACTTGTATGGCAAGTGTTGATAATATATATATATATATATATATATATATTTGTGATTGTTTGTAGGTCATTGGAGGTCATGAAAATTTCTGGAGGCTAGATTTTTATCAAGCTAGATTACCATCAGGCTAGATTTCTAGAGGCTTGAGAGAGGGAGTGTATTAGGTTAGAGCGTGACCAGCGCGATCCCAGTGTGCATTCCAGATCGAAGACGCGCGCCTAAGCGCGCACAAGCTCACGCTGTAGCGCGCGTCTCCCAGAAAGGAAAAAAAAACCCGAAGTCGTGCGCCTAAGCGTGCACAAACTCGCGCTGCAGCGCGCGTCCCCAGAAATGGATTCCCAGATCCACTTGTTTATGGAAACTCTCCTGAGCCCTAGCCCCATTTATGCCTCCCTTTTAAAAATTTTCAGCCACCACCTGAATTTTCTTAGCCAAAAATCCTCTCAAATTCTCTCAAATCCTCTCAAGCTCTCATTTTTCACCTTAAATCACCCAATACTTTCTCCTTCAAGCGAATCTATTGAAGATCTTGGTGTTTTTCATTTGAATTCTTCTCAAATCTTCAAGGCATCAAGTAAGTGGCACTTTTCCCTGCGTTCTTCCTAAGATTTCAATTTATCTGGGCCTTCAACTCTCTAGGGAGTTCGAGCACTTGTGAAACTTACATTTATGCGCACAAAAAACACTAAATTTTTAGGGGAAACTCTGCCGAATTTTTCAGAAAACTATTGTGTATTAGAGATTTTTTTTTGGAGCTTGGGCGTTCATTTAGTGAAAAAATCAGAATTTAGAGTGAAACTTTGGGGGTGTTTGCTTAGCAAATTTTTGGGCTGCTGTTTAAAAAAAAATGCCGCGGAAGGCACTTGCAAACCGGATTATGTTTGGGGCGAGTTCCAGCAACCGCCCACCCGCCCCTTGCCCGGTAGAACCCCTTGCCCCAGCAATGCCTCCTCCTGATTATGGCATCAGTCGGTTTGTGTCGAAGGACGTGAAAAAACAATATGAAAGGCACAATAAGAGTCGGGCTTGCATTCGAGAAAGGGGTTTCGACACAAGAAATGGTGAATTGCCGCCGGACATCATGAATGTTATTCGAGACAGGGGCTGGGAAAAATTTTGTTCTGAGCCTGCAGCGGGGTCCACTACTCTCGTTCGTGAATTTTTCGCGAACGCGAGAAAGTGTACCAAGAACAAGACCAAGGTGGGAGGGCGTGTGATTAAATTTGATGCTGAGACAATTAACAATCACTTTGGCATCCCCGCCACTAGTTCTTATCAGCAACAAGACTTTCCGGACCGAGATCCGCAGGAAATTCTGGAAGCCCTTTGCGACGGGCGTGCAAGGTGGACAATAAAACAAAACACTGACTCCGCCTTCGAGGCTCGATATCTGGCGAACTACACCAAGGTGTGGTTCCATTTTGTATGCACTATGCTTATTCCTTTGACTCACATCTCGGTGGTTACAAAAGATAGGGCCTTGGTCCTACTAGCAATTAAGAGGGGAGAGCCCTTAAATGTGGGGGCCATCATTAACAGCGGTGTTCACCATGCCCTGCGGAAAAACATCATTGGCCTCCCATACCCGTCGTTGCTGACGGAGCTTTTTCTGGCCGCTGGAGTGGCCATGCCGGATGCACATCTTGAGAAGCCCATTCAGGCTTTTGATCTCAACAGCATCATACGGATCGCTTCCGGCCGGACGGCCTCAGAGCAAGATGGAGGAGCAGGATCATTGCAGCCCCCACAGCCAAAGTGGAAGCGGGCAGCCACTACGTCTCGTGAGGACTTTGCAAGCCGGGTTGATCGGTATGAGGAGCAAATTGCCGATCTACAGAGTCAGTCCGCCTTGACTAGAAAGCTGATCATTGAGCTGGTGGAACACCACACCGCTTGCTTGACATCGCTGGAGCAGGAACTGACCCAAACTTGAATTGATGCGGGTTTCGGCGCCGGCAGCTATTTGCGTGTCCCTCCTTTCCCTGAGCACATCCAGAGGACTAACCCATACTTGAATTGATGCGGGTTTCGGTGTCGGCAGCTATTCGCGTGTCCCTCCTTTCCCTAAGCACATCTGGAGGACTTACTGGCCGAGCTTCCAGCAGCAACCACAGTCCAGCAATCAGCAGCAGCAGCCCGACTTCCAGCCACCACCACCTCCGCACACCATGGATGAGGACCACCCTTAGGAGGCGAGAGTCATATCTCGCCTCCCTGGTATTCTTCACTTACACTTCATTGTTGGCTTGTATTTTAATAACATTGAGGACAATGTAATCTGTAAGTGTGGGGGGAACTTCTAGATGCTATCAATACTTGCTATTTTGATTATGTTTTCGTTTGTTTATTTCGTTTGTTTAATTTAGATTTTATGTTGATCATTTTATTTATTCATTTTGAAAAAAAAAAGAATTTTTAGTGAGTTGTTTTTCTGCTCCTCCTGATGATCAATGAACCAATGATGACATTATCTCCTAATTTCTCTGAGTTTTTGTGCAATGTGTCGTTTGTGAATTCTGTGTGCTTGACAATTGGTGAACATGAAACTCTCTAGTTCTCACAAGAAAAGACCTTATCACTAATCATTTAGGGACCTAGAGGAAAATTATTCATTTAATCAAGTCCATGGCACATTAGGGATTCTAGAACTCAACTTAGGGAAACTCGAGGCGAAATCTTAGGCTAGCTAGTTAGCGGAGAAATGATTTAGGCATTTTCTTGGATCATTTGAGCCTTAAATAGCTAACCTATGGAAAACTTACCACTATTCTCCCCCATTGAGCCTATGTGACCCCGTTTTCTTTCATTACCCACATAAATTAACCTAGCCATTTTATAAATCTCCTTCACTTAACCTATCATTTATAGGCATGTTTGCATCATTGCATGAATTTGAAGATATAATTGTTGAGAGCAATCATGAAAGTGTTGAGCATTTCATTTGTGGTTTAGGAATAAAAAAAAATGAAAAAAAAATGAAAAAAAAGAGAAAAAGAAAATAAATTCGTATGAATTTCTTGTTTTTGTGTTTTGAGTTTATTTAT